TATTTTTTGTTTAGTTTTTTTAGATTCTTAAGTTGGATGCGGGTGATGGTCTATCAAGTTTCAGAGACTGTTTTAGATTCGTTGCTTAGTCATAAGTTAAACTGACAAAACTGATTGATGCAGATTTTCTGTCTTCATGGTTTCTGATTGGATTCTAATCTGCACCTAAATAAGCAGTACGTGTTAGTGTTATTCTAAGGGCTTTTCTTTGTCAATCGTTGTTGCATATGTCTGGATAAAACTAAATATGGAAGATGCTTTGGAAAGTGGGATTTTGTGGTGATAAAGGTTTGCCAGCACTAAGTACTGGAATAATAGAAAGACCGATCCAGTGCGGGCAACAGAGGTTTAGAGAAAGGATAGAAGGAACGTGTATAGAGACAGAGGAATGCATCTCAGTGTTTTTTTGTGTTTGTGAAAGGGTCCTACAGTATCTCACTCTTGCAGATTTGCATTGGTAGCTGTGGGAGGCAGAGATGGATGAAGAAAGTCAAACACGACGTCCACTGGATAGATTAGGCCGAACTAATGGGACCGGGACTGTAGACATCTGCTCTCCCTCGCTCATTTTTGCTTTCTGTCTCATTCCTAAATCCTTCCCTCTTCATCGGCCTCCATCTCTGGCTGTTCTTGATCCATCTCTACCTCTTTGACTGTGCTCAAGGATTAAAGAACAATGTTACATGTGTATTCAGCATAAATCGCATTAGCGCCCTGTGGGAGTTGGCAGACCATTCGTGTGTGCTGCTGACATGGCTGCTGCGCAAATACAGAGCAATCAGTAACAGCGTTGCCTTTGAATGACAGCAAAATGGTGAGGAATAGGCTTTTTCTAGTGGATTTCTCATTCCAATATGTGAGACGGGAGACGTGCTACTGAAAAGAGTTTGTGTAGTGTTGCACATGGTACAGGTAGGCTTTTATACATAATGTCTGCTTCATGCCAAGGAAAAGACACCAAAGAGAGTTTAAAAGACTGATTGCTTAGATTAAATGTCATGAAGGAAAACGGATGTATCTCTATTGTACATTGTCAGGGTTTGACACTATACCTTAAAAGGCCTCTTTAGTGGGTTTAAATATTGTAAAATGCTTGAATCAATATTTGTAATGCTATTTTAAATGTTTTTCTGCATATATTAGCACAATGCCTGATATCAAATGAACAGTGGTACTATGCAAGATTTCAGAATCATCTCTATGAATGAGATATTAAGGCCTACCATTTCTGTGATCATTACCGAGAGTGTTTTATACAATGAATTCATTGGGGAAAAAAATTAATGTTCCTGCCTCGGGGCATGATAAAATGTTCCAGACGCATTTCAGGTGAAATATCTGAAGGAAGCCAAAGCACATAATTTTCTTTCCCAACTTTTTAATGATGTGGTCCCAGTGTTTCATTTTCTGACAGCAATAGTCCCTTGTGTCATGCTGTTGTGTACAAAAGTTTGTTTTGCCCTGCTCAAGCGGAAAAGAAAATACTAATGTAAACAACTTATTTTACCTCTTGAATTAATCTTGTCATCAACCCAAATTCCCTGAATGAAAATGGAACGATGCATATTTAAATGGTACCAAATATTTATATATTCCATATCATTTCTCTAACGTGCCTCAGAAGGCTTTTTTTTTATAATAAATGTGCTGGGCTGGGGGGAAATTGCCCTCTGTGTAATCATGTGTGATGATGCTGGTCGTAGCATGAAATAAAACATTACATCTATGAGGATTTGTACTGTTTATATTTAATATCTATAAATGCTGCTCATCTCAGATCTCAAAGATATTATCTGTACTCTAAATAAAGACCAATTTCAGTCAGGTTAAATGTATTTCTATATTATATAATTTTGTAATAACAAATACGTTTTTGTGTATCTGTGACTATAGACTTGCTCTGCTGGGCAAACTATCTGTGTGCTGGACTAAAACATGCTAGCCTAAGTTTGCAGGTATCACACCTAAAAACAAAGTGCATTTGTGCTGCAGAATTTGAAGGCATACTAAATAAGGTTTAGAATTAAAAGGCAGATTAATCCTACAAAAAAAAGGCTTGAAGTTTCGGTGCCCCTCTCCATGTGAAATACAATGTCGGTCCAACAGAGGATGCTGTTTGACTACAAAGTGTTAGCTTGAACTGCAAGCATTCTTTCTGTACCCATTCTAGATGTCACTGTAACAGCCATATCTCTGCTCAGTCTCACTACACATTATTCTGTATTTGTACATAGATGTATGCACAGGAGATTCCAAAAGAGTCCACATTGAAGATCTGTTATTTTATTTTCATTTAAGCTTGAAAATTAAGTTTTAGGATTTGGAATAAATGAAAACCAAGATAAGTTATTATATTAAATGCAGAAGAATGAAGATTCTGTACAATTTCTACATCACCAATCAGATGTAGTTTGTGGTGTTTACCATGTTGAGTCTGGAATAAAGCTGGGATAACATGGATTTGCAGGATTTGCACAAACTTGTGGAGTCCATGCCAGCTTGAGTGCTGCTGTCTTTCAAGCGAAAGGGAGACGTACCAAGACATTTCAACTTCCCCTCAAATTACTCCACTAATATAATTTGTGATTTTTGTATTTTGATACATTATCAAAGAACATTTTCACTTAAGTCCCGCGAGTTCAAGCACTCTCAAAAACTCCCATAATAATCTCTAAAGCTGTTTACACTGTGAAATTAATATCTTACTTACATTCATACATCTTCACTTTGTTGTTTCTGATGAGAGAATTAACCAGAGAATTCAATCAACCAGTGCGCGCGGTGACGAAACAGCGTGTTTCAGCCTCTGATTGGTCCTTGCATTCATAAGCTCAACATAATCGTATGGAATTGGTTATAATGCACAAGTGCTCTTGCTCTGTGCCAGCCAGCGAACGCAGATTTTAATTTAGCAGCTGGTGATGTTTTTCTTTTAGTTTACAGGACAAACTGCTTGGTGTGTTAAGATTCCAAATTTAAGGGGGGCCTCCCCTGGTGTGTTCACTTGTGGACATTTGGAACACAGTGTTGTTCCTAATATAAAATAAATTACAATTACTAGGCTGGCCCTAAACATAATTATCTTGCTTTAACATTTTAGATGAATTAAGACATTATGTGTCCCTTTAGTAATGTGGTTTGGTCATGTTTTACTGTCTTACTGGGTTCATTTTGACATTTCATACCCCCAAAATGGCAAAATCTCCTCGCACTCTAAAAAATGCTGGGTTAAATACAACCCAGTGCTGGGTAAAATAGGGACAAACCCAGCAATTGGGTTGT